ACAGACGCCCTCCTCTTCAGAGTCAAACCCATCGCCGCCACAGATCGGCTCAATTGCAAAAATGGCGACTGCACCGACCCGCCCGAAAGACCGAAGCAGCCGCGGGCCTCTTTCCATCGCAAGATGAAGAGCAAACACCACAACAAGGCCGCGGCCAGGAGGACATCATTCATCACGGCTTCACACATGCTCGATGACAACAACCACAAGCAGGAGCAGCAGCAGCAGACGCCGGCGGCCAGCAACACGGCCGCATCCGCACTCACGCCCTCTCCATCGCCCCACACGCCCCGTTCGCTCAAGTCGTCGCCTCAGCCGTTCGCCCCCTCCCTCCTCTCCTTCTGCTCGCCGCGCTCCCCGCCGTGCAGCACACCCAACAACACACCTGCAGCCGGCATCTCCACCAAGAGGCTCCTGTCGGCGTCGGGCGGCGGGCGGTTCGGTGCGGGCGATGGTCAGGGGGATGGGAGCGACTCGGACGGAGGCAGTGATGACAGCATTGTGGCGCCAACGCCCATACCCAGTTCGGTGCCTCAGCTCGTGTCGAGCCGGCCGACGGTGGGCAGGGACAAGGGCGTCATCAGCCGCGGGCGGTTCGTGGTGGTGGAGGGCAGTGAGCATCGCATCTGTGGGCGGGGGGGCGGCAGCACGGGGGTGCGACAGGTGAGAATACCCATGACATAGACACACACATTTTCTTCATATGTATGTGTGTCTTGTGTTGTTTATGTGTGTGTGTGGAAGGCGTTTGAGGATTGCGAGCGTGACTGTGAGGAGGAGGCCCTGTCCGTGTGGCAGACCCACCAGCACAAAGGCAACAACATCCAAGGCAACTCAGGTGCCCTCAGGACGATGGCAAGGCGATGAATGTGTTCGTGTCTCGTCTATAATCTCTGTCAGGTTCTGTCGTCCCGTCTTCCTTTGGGTTTGGCTGTGTTGGGTTTGGCGAGAGCCCAATAATCACACCCACCAGTGGCCACAAACAGCACGGGTACAACAACATGCCGACATAAGAAGACAAGAAGGCAACACCACACACACATTTCATTTGTGTCTCCTTTGTGCAGTGCCGCGTATAATCTGTTTGCTAACGGCCCCTCCAACCACACACACAGCGCAGGGTGGGCGCAGGACACAGCACACACACCTCCACACACACACCTGCCGGCGTCCCCTCTCAGGTACTTTCGTCGTTTCAAGACCAGCAAGGCCTCGCTAGAAGCCGCCCCACCACACACCCACTCGCAGCCCCACCCCCCTCTCCAGCCCCCCGCCAGGCCGCACCCCACCCACACCTGCCGCCGCACCACTCACCCAAGAAGAACCGACACACTCAGTACCGTCCAAGCAACGGCCAAGACAATAGCAACATCAGCAGCAACACACTGTGAGATGAGACACGCAGGGAGACGGGCAAAGGGAAGAGGGAGTGGGTGCAGCAGGGTGGACTGTCGTGGGTGTCGGTCCGTACCTGCGTGTCTGTGTCCATGTGTGCGTGAGGTCGAATGCATGAGTTTGTTGTCGTGAGGGACGGGGCATTTTTGCCGTGTCGATACCCACTATCGGCACGCTCTCCCTCTCTGACAGAAGGTCTCCCCCATGTGTGCGTGATTGCATGTATGCCGGTTTGTGTCCAAGAGAGGGGTCTTGGTTGTGCGGGGGGGTTGGCGACACACTCACCACCCATCCATCCATCCAGCCAGCTAGCCAGCCCGCCAGCCAGTCGACTGAGCAGTGCAGTGCAGTGGGACTGTTGCGCGTGGACGTGTACCAAATGAAATCAATTCACACATACCCACCTACCGTCTCTTGTCCCAGTGTCGCTTCGCTCACGCAGGCCAACGACAAATAGGCACTCTCGTGGTCTCTCTCCCGCTCCCCCCCTCTCTCTCTCTCTCTGCATCAATGGCCACGGCCGGCAGGAAAGTACCAGTAGGCACATATCATGACGCGGCCGACGCGGTCAACGAGAGAGAAAAATCCACACGCACCCACACTTCTCCTTCCAGCCTGTTCACTTTTTGATGCCCCTGGTTTTCTTGAGCTTCCTGACGTCCTTCTTGAGGAACTCCACTATCGCAGCCTCTGACGTCTCCTTAACCGTCACGTCCCTGCCCAAACAACTCCGAAGGGCACGCACCTGTGTAGACCAACCACACGTATACACACAGGCACACGCGATGAGGCGAAGAGTCACTGTGTGTGAGGGAGCGTGTGTGGGTTGTGTGGTGTGGGTGGTGTGGTGTGGTGTTCGTGTCCCCCCCTTCCCCCCACGTCACATACGCACCCGTGTGTATGGCCAGTCCTCGGCCACAATGTCGACTCCGCCCTCCTTGTTGGGCGGCGGCTGGGGGCGGGACCAATCGGAATCCGACACAGGCTGGCAGACGCGCGCGCAGAGAGAGAGAGAGAGAGACCCAGTCAGTGAACACACACTTGGAGGGTATGTATGGTACCTACCCACCTCTTCATAGTAGTCGTCATCGACCCTCGGCCGTCGTGGGTTGAACTGCAGCCTGACCCCTCCGGGCAGCGACCGGATGGCCACCGGTGTGGTCAGGTGCTTGTAGTACTGTCCCTCACGCAGCCACAGCCGCGCCCAGTCCTTGAGGAAGTTGACGACGTGCACCACGGGCATGCCCTGAATCGACTCGCGATACAGCTCGGGGCCGTCCAGCTTGATAAAGGCATCGTCCCACTCCTGTGGGAGTGAGTCAACACGACCAACAGACAGGCAAGCGGATGGATGGATGGCTGGATGAGGCACGCAATCGTCCCCCTCCCTCCCTGTCGTTCAATCATTTCCTGGCTAGTCTACCCATTCTTGTGGGAAGTCCTTGCCCGGTGCGCTCGCGAGACTCATCGTGGCATTGTAGGCCACTCGCTGCATTGAATGCATTGTAGGCATTCACCCATCACACCCACAGAATACAGTGAGCTCTTGGCTGACTGGCTGGCTGGCTGGGTGCACACACACCCACTTGTTTCGTACCTTACCTGGTGCACACACCTGACGAGGCACTGTGCGGCGGCCTCCTGTGTGGTCATGGCGTCCAGAGGGATGGAGGGGGAGTCACCCGCCTCGAACCGAATGCCCGCCATCTCACCCTATGGACCCGATCCACAAAGGGCAATTAATGTTGGTCGTTTGCTGGGCTGGCGTGTGTCCGCCGCCGTGGCCTCCCGTTCTTTCATTGTACCGACCGCCAGGGGTTCCAGCTTGCCGACGCGGACAAAGGAGTAGTCGAGTCCCCTCTTGTTGCTCTGCTGGATGATGCTCTCCTCCACCCGCCGCTTGTCGTCCAAATCTGAACAATCCAATCCAATCCATGTGTGTGGCTCACATCGTGTCGGCGCGTGGGTGGGTGTGGCTGTCCACTGAGTGAGTCAGTGCTCATACCGGTGAACATGCCGATGAGACCCCCTCGGTCACGCCTGTCGATGCCCAAAGGCGACAACAATATCACGTGCTCCAGGCTCGGACTGTTGGCCAGCCTGATAGACAGACAGAGACAACAAAACGGGGCGGGCGGGCGGGCGGGCCTCAACGTACGTCTTCATCTGTTGGTTGATGTGCACAGAGCAGACCTGTGATGCGTACGTACCATTTTTCGACGTTGATGGAGTCGACCCTGAAGGTGGAGTCGTCTCCCGAGCCGAAGAGGTCCAGCATGCCGCCGCCAGACTTGGACTTCTTGGACGGATCCACACATATGATCATCACCTGGACAGACAGACAGACAGACACACAGACAGACAGACAGACAGACACAAGACCAACCACACACATACGCAATCGAGCAGCTGTCTGCCTGTCTGTCTGGACCGACCTGAGTGGACCTCAGCTTCGAGTACACGGTCTCGGCGCCTATATGATACAGGCAGCAAGCATCATACGCACAGCCAGAACCGTGCCCTCCTGCTTGTCCCTCCGTGACTGACCGTTCTGCTTGGCCGTGTTGGGTTCGCTGCCATCGATGACGTTGACGTTGAATCCCTGCTTCTCGAGGTCGCGCTGCACCAGGTCCTTGATGCGACTCAACCCACCACTCACCTGACCCACACACACCATAGCGTGACGCAGCCATCCATCCAAACATCCAGACATTGTCTGTCTGTCCGTCCATCAGGCAGCGGTGTTGCCTGCCCCACCGCACCAGTGTGACGTATTCGATTCGGTCTCGTCTCCGTTTTGTGAACTCCCTGTCGCCCGCCAGGCCGATGCTAATATCGCTGTCGCCGACGCTGATGCCCCCGCCCTGCTGGTAACGACCCATCGCCTGACACACATACATGATATCGACGAATGACACGCACGACAGAGAGAACCGCTTGCATTGGAGGGTATCGCATCCGTGGCATCTCACTCTCTGTCTTACCGTCTTGAAATCCTCCTCGAAATCATCAACCACCTTCCGCACTTTGCGGCTGCAAAGAGCAACGGCACATCCAGCCATCCAGCCATCCATCCATCCATCCATCCATCCACTGCTCACACATGCCTCTCTCTCTCCACCTCACCGACCTGGATTCAGGGACCTTTGTGGGGTCTTTCGGCTTGCCAGCCTCCAGGATCCCGAACGGGTCGTCGGGGTCCATCGATGCGCCAAGCCGCCACCCGCCCTCCTCCTCACCCTCCTCATCATCTCTGCCCCTCTCCCTCTCCCTCCTGGACCACACCGCCACCTGACTCAAGCCCGCCCTCCTCATCGACCGTCTCAGTGACTGTGCCAGCGGATGGTGTAATGAAAGATGGCCGTGATGGACGAACAAAGGGGAGTGTGACGGCGTCGGCTCCTGCCTGGCGGAGAGCGCGCCCACACTGCTGCTGACAAACAGGAGGGCTGATGATACCAGGAAAGTCATGGTCATGCTGGCAGGCGTGAACGGAAGAATGTTGGGTGCGCTGGCCGCTAAGTAGTGCGAGGTGGAGCGGCTGCAGCACGGCAGGTCGCTGAGGAGGCGCTGCGATGAGTTGGCGCAGATCTCTGAGGCCGAAATGGGAGATGAACACAAAGTCAAAAATGGAAGCCGCGGATCTCGGCAATGGTTCCCGCTGCTCTTGCGTCCTTGCCGCTAGCGTATTGAGTGTGTCCAGAGCCCCAGATCTTTTGCGAGCTTGGATTGCGAGCTCGGAGTCAAGATCGCAGCCGCTCCTCTACCCAAACTTACCCTTAACCACCTCCACTCTTGTCGAAAGGTCTCACGCGTCTTTCTCAAGTAAGGGGAGCCATCAGAAAGCCATCAGAGAGAAAAAGTGAGGCTCCGTGGGAGCGGAGAGTGTCTGTGCGTGGTTCTGGGTGTGTCTGGCTGTGGGCGGGGCGAGTGAGCGTTGGTGTGTGTCGTGGAAGTGACATAGAGAGCGCTAGAGTAGTGTACATGGCCACCCTTGCCCTCCGTTTGGCTCACCTCTTGCCCTGCCTGTGTCTTGTGTGCCCCTGTGTGTGTGTGTGTGTGTCGTCAGGATGCAGATCTTCGTCAAGACTCTGACCGGCAAGACCATCACCCTCGATGTGGAGCCTTCAGACACAATTGAGAATGTGAGACCCACACCCCCTCCCCTCTCACCACAGCACCCCGCGTCCTCATGTGTGTGTGGTGTTTCGTTGTTGCAGGTGAAGGCCAAGATTCAGGACAAGGAGGGCATCCCGCCCGACCAGCAGCGCCTGATCTTCGCGGGCAAGCAGCTCGAGGACGGCCGCACCCTCTCCGACTACAACATTCAGAAGGAGAGCACGCTGCACCTCGTCCTGCGACTCCGCGGTGGGGTCATCGAGCCATCACTCGCCGTTCTCGCAAGGAAATACAACTGCGAGAAGATGATCTGCCGCAAGTAAGCTAAGCTGGGCTGGGAGGGAGGGAGGGATCATTCGACGGAGTGAGGCATCTGCAGTCCCGCATCGATCTTAAGACACCGTCTGTCGCCTGTGTCTGTTGTGCGTGTGTGGTGTGTGTGCAGGTGTTACGCCCGTCTGCCCCCCCGTGCGGTCAACTGCCGCAAGAAGAAGTGCGGCCACACCAACCAGCTCAGACCCAAGAAGAAGCTCAAGTAAACCTTACACCCCTATTTGGGTGGGTGGCTGGTCGGCTGGTGGGCGTAGTCTTAGGGGCGGGAGGTGAGGTGCGGTGCAGTGCGATGCATTGCGGCTGTGTGAGCGAGAACTCTCATCGCTCATGCCGTGCCATCCGTGTGTTCCTGTCATGTGTCTGTCTGCCTTTCACGGGACGCTTGTCTGATCCGTTAATCTGAATGTCTTCGTGCTCGAATCTTGGGGTCCATCTCGCACGCTTGGCTCGTGTGGTGCCCTGGCACATGTGCCGCAAAAATGCCAAGAGAAGGTGACACAGGCATGACACCACACACACATAGCTCGCATGGACAAGACTCATCTGGACTAGGTAGACGCCACGCACTGTCCACAGGCCTGTCTGCAGAGAGAGGGATGGATCGCCTCATAGGCACACGACACACGAATGGGGTGGCTGCAAACGACGCACACGCATCGATCGCACCCTTGCTTGCACCAATCAATCAACCAAGGACTACGTGACCACAGACAGTCGGTCGAGAAATGACCAACTAGAAATCGAACGACCGACCGACCATTTGGCTCGCCGAGTGGCTGCCTGCCTGCCTGCCTGGCTGGCTGGGGTTCGTTCGTTGGTTCCTTCGACAAAACAGCCAGTCAGTCAGCACAGGGAAACTTCAAGCCAGTCAGTCGGTGCGACGTGAGTGATATATATGAGATGTTATGTGAGATACGATACAGATGGGATGGCTGGAAGGGACGGGAGGGGAAAAAGACTGACTGCTCTTTCTTATCTTAAACACTTGTGACACGCACAGACAGACAGATGCATCCATCTCATGAGCACAACAAACTCACAACACGTGTGTGTCTCAGTCAGTCAGGACTACCTACCTTACCAACCAGTCAACCAACCAACCAACCAAACCAACCAACGGGAAAGACTCACTTGATAGGCGGACGGGGGAGGGAGGGAGGGAGATCAGCCAGACAGACAGAGAACCCACCGTCGCACACGCGGAAGGAGTGGTTTGGTGTTGTCAGGCGGTCACTCAGTCAGTTAGACATACAGAGGAACAGACGGACGTACGTGCGCACGCATACCCATGGCAAAAAGAGTCCGCTCACACACACACACGACACACGACGGCAACGCGTCACTTCTCAACCCGCATCAGACAGACTAGACACACACACACACACGCACACACGCAGAGGCAGCAAACTTCCCCGCTTACACCTTTCTGTGTCTCCCCCTCCCTCCGTCCCTCCGTCCCTCCCTCCCTCCGTCCCTCCCTCACTCCGTCCCTCTCTGCGCCCCGCCCATGGTCAACTACCTACCCCTCGTGCTGCTCATCATCGTCCATGGCCCCCTCAGTATCCCCCTGCGGTGCCGTCCCCAGAGCGAACCCCATCCCACCGTGGCCGGCGTACTGAGGGCTCAACGGCGCCTGCTGGGGCGCCTGGGGCTGCGGCTGCCCGTGGGCCGGTGGTCTGTAGCCAGCAGTGGTAGTGGAGATGCCCTGCTGCTGCTGCTGCTGACTGGACATCTTCATTTGCATGGCCAGCTGCTCCATGAACCTCATCTGCTGAGGTGCCAGGTTGACCTGAGGGGGGGTGCTGGTGGCCAGCTGGGAGAAGGGGCTGGCAGGGGCCTCTGGCGGCTGCTGCTGCTGCGGCTGCGGGAGGTGGTCAGGGGAGGGGGCGGCGACGCTTTGCGGGAGTGGCATCGACTGCGACAGCAACGATGGCACGCCAGGCTCCTCCTTGACCCAGGGATAGGTGCTGCCCATCTCGTGCATCGACTCCTGCTTCCTCTTGTTGCCCCACCCCCCGACCCCGTCGACACCCACACCCACACCCACACCCATGCCCAGCCCCCAGCCCCCCTGGTTGGCCTCCTGGTTGACCGTCGGGGGCGAGGAAATGGCCAGGTTGCCGCCCCGCAACACGCCCCTGTGTGCCGTCATGGCACGCCTACGCTGGGGCGACCGCACACCGGCGACGAACTCGTGCGGCTGTGGCCCGAAGGCGGGGGAGCCGATGGTGGCGACGCCCCCACGGTTGACGAGCGGCCCGCTGCCACCGAACTCTGGTGGCATGAGGCCCTCAGCAAAGCCTGGCGGGGACGCCGGGGGGAGGGGTGAGGCGAAGAGTGGGCCCGGCTGTGGGCTGAGGCCCGCACCGAAGCCTGGCGGGGAGAGCTCTGCTTGGGGGATGGGCGATGATGGGAGGAGGGAGTGCTGTTGGTGGTCCCCTCCCCCTCCCCCTGCTCCCCCCGCCCCCCTCTGTTGGTGTGGGTTGGCCCGCTCGGCGCACCGCCGCATGTGGTCCAGGTGCAGCTGCACAGCCTCCTCCCACAAACCGCAGATATACGCCATCTTAAACAACTGCAATCAAGCCAAACATCATCAGACACACCAACACAGCACAGAGGGAGGGAAGAAAGAACTGATGGGATGGTGCGCCTCTGCCGGACAGGCGCACGTGTGTGTGTGTGTGTGTGTGTGCTGTCTTTTCACCTGCGGCAGTGTGGCGTTTCGCATCTCCCCGTACTTGAGACCATGATCGAGCAACGTCTGATCCTGCACGCAACATCAATCAACAGACAGACCAGAGAGAGCGAGCAGCACACACTCCAAGGTGCTTCAGGAACTGGTAGCTGGAGTGCCGCCTGTCTGTCTGTCCCACCATGAAGTCCTTGTTGAGCTCGTGGAACTCCCTGAGCCTCTTGAGCAGAGCCTTCCGGCCCTCACCGCCCAACTTCAATGCTATGCCCTCCCTGACCAACACACCCAATGCGTGCATGAGTGTGCATCTGAATGGTGCCGGCCATGCCACGTGCTCGTCATGTGTGTGTATGGTTCGGACTCGTATTCGATGGTCTCTCGTGTGGTGCCCGAGGGGCTGCGTGTGATGACCGCCGCCGGCTCACGCACCTGGCGCGTCTTGTTGCGCCGCCGCTGAGCCTGAACCCACACACAGCATTCACACACACAGAGGTCATGTCGCTGAGACATGGAGTGGCTGGCGCACCGACCCTGAAGTGTCTCATCTCAGCATGGTGAGGGCTGAGTGGAATGTAGCCCTTGTACTCCAGATGAAGACGCACAGCCACTGGCCACAGTTCACTGAGGGAGAGAGGGAGAGATAACAGGGAACGGTGTCCAGTGCGTTTTCCTTCCGCATCATTCCCTCTCCCCCCCTCCCTACCAGTCGACCGCCAGTCTAAGCAGCTCAATGATGGGGGTGTTCTGGTGCACCCGCTTCTCGACACCATGACGCCCTGCACACACCAGACGAGACGAGACGACACCAGCCTGCCGTCTGACTCGTTCTCGTTCTGTCTTCTCTTCTGTCTGCCTCCTTCTCACGTGTGGCCTTGATGTAGTTCCTCAGCAGCTCCCTGCCGGCATCGCCGAGCGAGAAAGTGATGCCGTCGTGGTACTGAGGAACCTGTCAGACAAGACACCAACCAAACCGTCACATAGGCGGACAGCAGTCATGCCCCATCCCCCTGGCCTCTCTGCCCACTCACCACGCGCTGTGCGCTCAGCGGCAGGTCGTCGAGGGTCAACATCTCCAGGGGCGCCTCGACGATCGGTGGGGCCGCCATGCCCCCATTGCCGTCCGTCTCGCCGTAGACAGGGCCGCCAGCACCGCCCACAGTGGTGAGTTGGTAGTAGGAGGTCGGTGAGGGGAGTGGCTGGTATGAGACGCCCGTGTAGGGCGGGTAGAGCTGCTGCAGCTGCTGGTGGTGGTGGTAGGGCGCCTGCTGCGTCGTGGCGCTACCGGTGCCGCTGCCGTCGTTGTCGGAGTCCTGCGACGACCGGTCGTCGCTCATTATCTCGCCCCGCTCCAACTTAACCATCTGTCTTGGCAACCAACAGATCCAATCGGCACACACACACATCCCTCCCTCCCTCCCTCCCTCCATCACCTTGGTCCTGTTCTGCCCAGCTCACCGGTTGGAAGCCGTCCCTGGGGCTCCCTCCCTCGTATGGTCCCGGTATGGGCGTGTTGGGCGGGACCCTCCCCATGCCGCCATATGGCGAGTAGATTTCTGCCTTCACGTCAGCCTCCTGCGGCACCAAGGGCACGGCGGCCGGCGGCTGTGGGTGCGAGTCGAATGACATGGTCAGTGATGGGGGCGGGGGGGCCATCGAGGCAGTGGAGCTTCGCTGCGATGCACCGCCAGGCAGGCCCACAGAACCCATGTACGCGCCCATCGGACCAAACAGCTTCCTGTCATCCTGCAAACACACATACAAGGCAAGGCAAGGCAAGGCAACGCAAGGCGACACGAACGACAGACACCATTGACCCAGTTGTCAACACAGACACTCGCGCACAGACATGCTCTCCCCTCCCCTCCCCCTTTTACCAGTGTGTTTTCCACGGGGAGTTTGTCAAGCAGCGCCTCTCCCGGCTCGCCGATCATGGAGAGGTCGTGGCCGCCATTCTCCCCCTCCCCCTCAGCAGCCCCCTCCGGCGGCGGCGCCGAGGAGGGTCTGGGTGGGACGGCGAATCCCTGCTCGCCCCACGAGTTGCTGGGCCGCATGTAGTCGACCATCATGGCGCTGTCAGTGCCGATGGGCACCGGGGGGAAGTCCAGCTGGGCGGCCGAGTGCTGGTGGGTGAGGAAGAGGCACGAGGAGAGATGCGACTGGTGCCGCTGGAGCGAGGGGCGGTTGAGGGACGCCTCCAGCGAACTCGTGTTGAATAGAAGACCCGCACCAGCCGTATCCTGCACACACAGACAGACAGACAGACAGACAGACAGAGGAGGGAGGGGTAAAACAAACACGATTTGATCAGCAGGAACCATCCAATTGTTGTTTGTCGTCCCTCCCATCCCTCCCTCAGTTCGTTCGAACCTACCTGTGACATGAGTCTCTGCAGCTTCCGGACGGGCTGCTCGATAGAGCTGTTGCGATTGAGGAACAGATCCCTTCCCCCCAGACTCAGCCCGCTCATCCCCCCAGACAGCTGTCGCACCAAAGGGTCCTCAAACATCGACACACCAGGGCCGTTGTACGCCGACGATCCCGTGGGGAACGGCCGGCCGACGTCCTCCATGTTGCTGTCGCCGCGCAACGCAGGCATGGGCCCGAGCGCGTTGCTCGCCGCCGGGCTGGGGCGTGACGGCGTCCGCTCCATCGATGGCGGGTTTGTCTCGCCGAGGAGCATGTCGTTGACATGGCCTCCTCGGTCACCCTGCTGGGCCGCCCACGCATAGCCGGCGAACGAGGATGGGTCTCGCTGCATGGAAGGGAGGGGCAGCGGGACCGATGACGGCGGTGGGGGAGGTTCCATGGGTGCGGCGGAGGACGGGGGGAGCTCCATGGAGTCGGCCTCTGCCAGCTGGACGTGTTGGGCGTACTCGAAGGGGAGCTTGCTGTCAGCGCGTGAGGGGCTGCTGGGGTGCGCCATGATGATAATACAATCGACTCGTGGGACACGCAGCCGACCACTCACTCAGTAACACCCAGTACCCTCCTGAGGAACACACGAAGCACAACAAACAGAAGGGACGGGCAGGAAATGTCATAGCGAAACAAGGACAGGCAGCCGCCTTCTCCTCCCACCTGAATCTTCCTTCCACGTGGCTGTGCTGTGTGTGTCTGCAGCTCAATCAGACGGTCACCCCCGCCGCTTGTTCGCGCCAGGCCACTGCTCTTCAGGAATTCGGCGATTCATCAAGCAGGCGCTGCTCTCCCTGCTGCTGCCTGCCCTGATGGGAAAACGGAAACGCGCATCTTTTCTCTTTTCTTTAAGCTCGCATATTCTGCGGCTCGCAGGGTTCTTCTTCGTCGAGATTCCTACACCGCTCTGGGAGGCTGCTGCGGAGCCCATTACACTACCATTACATGTAGGTTGGCGCGCTGGGCGCCGCATGCAGCTTCTCAGTCTCTCGAATCACGCGGCACAAAGGATCAGTGGAGGCGAGGGGGTCTTCACGTGGCTGTAGTGACTGCTGGTGGCGGATAGAGGGTCTCGGCATCACCAGCTGTCATTTGAGATGGCATTTCTCCTGCGCCCCCGCCGCTGGGACTCATAGCAGAGCCGACAGGAGTCGCTCGGGAGGCCGCCGGACAAGCCGCTGCAGTGTAGGCTCCTCGGGTCGGGGCGCTGACTGACTTTGTCCCACAGTTTGTCTGTGGGCCAGGCCAGGTTTCGGTCCGCGGTGAATAGTCTCTAACTGGTGCGTCGTTCGGGTCGTTTGGGTGTGGCGATGATTCGTTACAAGATAACCAAGGTGGTGGGTGACGGCACCTATGGGTCCGTCATGAAGGCCATCAACAAGCAGAACGGGGAAGTGGTACGAGAGAGAGACCCAATGGAGGGATGGATGGATGGATGGGAGAGGTCTGCATCTTATGATGTGTTGTGTTGTGTTGTGTGTTTAGGTAGCGATCAAGAAGATGAAGAAGAAGTACTACAGCTGGGAGGAGTGTATGCAGCTCAGGGAGGTCAAGGTCAGCACACACACACACACACACACACACACACTGATGGATTGATGGGTCTTTCCATTCCATATGTGCGTCAGTCGTTGCGGAAGTTGGTCCACCCGAATGTGGTGAAGCTCAAGGAGGTGATTCGCGAGAACGACGAGCTGCACTTCGTCTTCGAGTACATGGAGGTCAACCTCTACCAGCTGATGAAGGACAGGGTCAAAATGTTCCCCGAACAAAAAATCAGAAACATCATGTAAGGAGGAGGAGGGGGAGGAGGGGGAAGCTGCTGCTGGGCTTCCTGCTCTCCCTACTTGCTGATGCGATGCGATCTGATACATCCATGTGTGTGTGTGTGTGTGTGTGTGTGTGCAGGTATCAGTCCCTCCAGGCGTTGGCCTACATGCACAAGCACGGCTACTTCCACGTGAGCATGGCAACAATACGACACATAACATACGGCGGCATATTGCTTCCTTCCCTCCCGTCATGTCTGTCCTATATGTTTCAGCGTGACGTGAAGCCCGAGAATCTGTTGGTGACCAAGGAGACGGTCAAGCTGGCCGACTTCGGCCTCGCCCGCGAGATCAGGTCCAGGCCGCCCTACACCGACTACGTCTCCACACGATGGTGCGCTGCTGCTGCCTCCCTCTGCACTGCACGAGGCACACTTGAGCATCTCATCTGCGTGTGTGCTGCTGTGTGTGGCATGGACAGGTATCGCGCTCCGGAGGTGTTGCTGCGGTCGCCAAATTACAACTCGCCCATCGACCTGTGGGCAGCTGGTGTGCACACACACACGCGCCACACACCACACGCACACAAAGAGGCAGGCAGCTGATTCGACTGACTGAGGGAGAAACAAACCACATTCAATTCTGCGTGGGGGTGGGTGTGGTGTGGTTCATTCAGGTGCGATAATGGCTGAGTTGTATTTGCTGCGGCCGCTGTTCCCTGGGTCGTCAGAGGCCGATGAGATATACAAGATATGCTCGGTGCTCGGTAGGCCGGAAGGCAGCCACGGCACGGCAGGACCCAATGTGTACGTGTGTGTAAGTGGAAGTGTGTTTGTGTGTTTGTGTGTGTGTGTGTGTGTGTGTGTGTGAAGGCACGCCCACTAGCAAGGACTGGGAGGATGGGCAGAGGCTGGCCGGGGCGATAGGATTCAGATTCCCACAGGTCGGTCACACAGGATGCAATGCAGACACATGGCACGTCACACAGGCCACCCACACACGCACACACACACTCACTCTTGGTCTCTTCTCTCTGCGTCTTGTGTGTGTTGTGCATCCATTGTGTGTGTGCAGTTTGTGCCGACCCCTTTGCATCAGATCATCACCAACGCCTCCCATGACGCCATCGATCTCATGAACAGACTCTTCACCTACGACCCACAAAAGAGGTCAACCACGCACACACATGCACACACATGCACACACATACACACACATACACACACATACACACGCGCACCCGGCCATCCACTCAACGCCATAACCATGCTCTCTCTGTGTGTGTGTGCCTGTGTGCAGGATAACGGCGGTCGAGGCGATCCGGCACCCGTACTTCTCCACCCACATCCCTCCCCAGCGCACCCTGCCCGACCAACACCACGTGCGGGACCACTCCCGTGACTATGGTGGTGCGGTCCACCACCCGCAGCCCCAGCAGGGCGGCGGGGCGGGGGTGCCACCACACGGCATATCGCCGCCAGTCGCACTGGAGAGGGACAGGGACAGGGAGAGGGAGAAGCCGGAGAGGCCACACCCAGAGATGAAGGGTACGCGTGTGGGCGGGGGAGAACGAAACACTCAACCATCCCGTGTGTGTGTGATGGTCTGTCTGTCTCTTCATTCAGGTCCGTATGGCAGCAAGATAGCCCGCCCCCAGGTCACCTCCTCCAACTCCCCGCCCCCCCTAGCCATAGACCTCAACAGGCAGAACTCCTCCCAGCTCAACTTCCCCCCCATCGCCCGCAGACTCTCCGTCGAGCGCAAGCCCAAAGACCTCCTGCTGCAGCAGCACCACCAGCACGCCTCAATCGGTGCGTCGGAGGGGATCGGGAGCGTGGGGGTGCCGTCTGCGGCGCCGTCGGCTGCCTCGGCGCCCGCACCGGTGATGAGCACGGGGCAGGTGGGAGGGATTCCTGGGGGTGGCAAATACGCACGGTCCGTGCAGCCGCCCCAGCCCACTCAGGTAGGGTAAGCCAGCCATGTGGCGAGGCCAAGGGAGATGGATGGGAGGATCTGATTGCATTGTGTTGTGTCCCTCCTGTTGGTTGTGCCATGTGGGCAGGTGTCTGGGGGCATGTTTCCCTCGATAGGCGACCGTGTCGGCCGCGACAGTCCACACAAGTTCTTGAGGCAACGCAGCCAAGAGCGTACGCCACGCCGGCCACAACACAACACCTCCCCCACCACACACACACACACACACAGAAGAACCAGCACACACGCATCTCATCTCAATTCCATTCTCTCGTCTGTCTGCTGTGCATGTCAGTTCGCGGGCTTCAGCAGCCCCTGCCGACGTTCGGGTCAGCAGCGGTCAGGGAAGATTCCATCGGCGCTGCTGGAGGATCGCGGTAGGTACAGACGCACACAAGATTGGCACAGACACATGCCCCACCTGACTTACTTGGTCGTTCGTTGGTTGGTTCGTCCGTCACCTATCTATGTCAGCTATGCGCGCATGGCCCGTTACCAGCCCCCCATGGCGTACCACGTCCCCAGCCCCCCCAGACAGCACCAGCAGCAGCCCGCTGCCCCCGCATCCATCTCACCCCCACCAGCAGCGACCAGGCAACACCCACACCCTCACCCGCCACAGCAACCGGCAGCAGCAGCGGCATCAGCGGCATCATTCCCCATGCCTCCGCTGCACATCGGTCTGGGCGGGGAGGGCTTCAGGGCCGGAGCAGCAGGGGCAGGAGGGTGGGATCGGCCGTATGGTGGCGAGAGAGGTTCGTTGGGCGGGGGCAGGCTGCCCCTGCCCACCTTTGGGGCTCCTGGTGCTGGTAGTGGTGGTGCTGGTGGTGGTGCCGGAGGTAGTGGGGGTGGAGGCGGCAGCCCACCGCCCATATTGCCACGGGCGTCTGGCCTCGGGTAAGTGGGTGGGTGGGTGGGTGGGAGGGAGGGAGGGCAC